GGCAAGGACCTGAAGACAAGTAAGAAGAGTACGAACTAGACAAGAGCAAACCAGGGCGGCACTACTAGTCTGGCCACTGGAACAGAAGCCACAAAGCCAATCAGGAGAATATATATAAAGAGTAGTACACAATCAGGGTCCTAGCAAGTGAGGAGCTACTGGAACTAGACCAAGCTATACACAGTGCTGTTGTGTGATGTCATCATATGCTATCACATTCTGTCTGCCTCCCATCCCATGTTTTCAACTTGCATGTGTGGTTTGAATGTGCAAGCATTTGTGTGGTGTGTTCTGGAGTTTGGGAATGTGTTCTGTGTTATTTTTGTTTGAGCAGGTATTTGTGATGATAGATCTTGAGAAGATCTTTCCGACGCAACGAGAATCCCTTCAATCGGAGCAAGAATGCGAAAGCTATGAAGATTCAAAGTTCATGAGCTTGCGTTACAATTGCGGCGGTTACTAAGTGAAGTTGTGGGGTGACTCTATATGGAGTTGGGACCTTTGGGGTTGGGGAAACTTGTCACTCTACTGTAACAGCTGCAAATAGGTTGGGAACAACCAAGCTAGGTTGGCAAGGGTGGCCAACTTGGATGGATTGGTTGGGAAGGGACAAAGGTCAAAGTTGAGGTTCCTATAGGGAGGGAATCTTTGTGCTTATGGGGTTTCCTTGGTTGGGGACTCTCTTGGGACCTTCCCTCTCATCCCTCTCTTCCTATCCCAACCTTTCTCTTGCTCCTTCTAATTCCTTGTGAGATTCTTGAACTTTGATTGAACTCTTGAGATTGAGTTAAGTTCTCCTCCTACAGCTTACCCCCTAGTGCGTCGAAAGCCATAGCGTCGCGAATACTTCATCAATTAACATGATTCAAATTGGGAACGGTAGCTGAGATTAAGAGCTCCAACATATCCAAGTTTCGCGATATTCCAACGGCTAGTTTTTCGTCGACGTCGTTTCTTGTGAAGACGACTTTTCTGTCCAGAATTTCGGATTTATATTTTGAGTAATTCTAGCTCCTAAGTTCACCTAGACTCCGTCCTTAATCCTAACAAGTGCCGCTAATGATCTTTAGGTGCCGCTAATGATCTTCAGGTGCTAGGTCCTCCAAGCACTAGCCCCATGCCCGATGTACTTGCTAGATAATGCAAAACCCTCTTAGCGGTCGACCAGTGCTGTGGTCGGTGTCTACTTGTGGCCACAAAGCGAGCCAGGATACTGAGAGGGTATGCGAGATCTGGACGAGTGCAAGTTATCAGGTATAGTAGGCAAATCACCAGCTCTGCGTACCGACCACTAGGCTCTACCGAATCCTCAGGGACTAGAGCCGAGAGCCTGTGATCTACTGGCAGAGGTGTGGACTGTGCGGAGGAGAACTGAAGACTGAACCACTTCAATGGCAAGACCATCATTGTCACAGGATCGAAAGATGTTTGCTCAATATTGCACTAGCAATCAGTACAAGGTGCTTTTATTCTTCCATAGTACATCAGGTAACGAGGTTTATCCTATCCAAAGGGAATAGACCCTTCTAGAAATAGAATCACCTTGCGTATTGCCACGCGATGCTATTGGCTTTAAGGGATCATGGCAGGATTACGCTAGATACAGCGCCACAGTACATCCCAAGCCTGGTCGGTGATATAACTATAATAACAGGATAAACCAAAGGATAATGAGAAACGAGGAATAGGAAGCCAAATGGGATGTGATAAAGATCAAAGGAATCAGGATAATTAGAAGAATGAGGTAGAGTAAAAGTATGGAAATAAGAAAGAAGTGTAACGGGGTCGTACTCTCACACTTCTCCCCCTCAAAGCTGGGTGGTAGAAGTAACACCCTGCTTGACAAGGTTGTCGCAAAGAGGACGACGGCCTCAGAAGTATCAAAATTCTTCCAGCAAAGAAGAAGCTCTAGAGTGCCATGTTGACGACGACGGTGTCCGAGCACGTAGTTGTCCCATATCGTGGACGAACACGGGCGGCGATGGTGGCTGGCATTCGGTGTAGAGCGTGTTTGGTCAGGTTTTTAAGAAGCTGGTATGGAAGGCGTTACGGATCTTCCAAGTGGCTGGTAGGAGGAAGCGGAAGGTGACTGAAGTGACCTTTGCATCAACAAGAATAGGTCTGTAGAAGCATGGTTGAAGCTTGGATGGAAGATGGCTGATGTCGTGATTATGGTGTGGATAACTGTGGTGATGAGTGGCCAAGTGCTTCTGTTGTTGTTGGATGTTCAAGAGGCGCTTGTGTGGCCGATCTTCGAGATGGTGGATGATGGCGATGAAATTGTAGGCCAGTTGGACAGTAGCAAGAACTGTCTGTTGCTACGGAGTAAGCAGGCTCTGTCCACAGCTACGAAGGATGGTGTGTATCGCCGTCAGTGATATATGGGCAGGTGCAAGTTGTAGTTGGAGATCTGAGTGGTTGGAAAAGTGTGCTGTAACGTGCAGATGAATGGCTATGTTGTTCGATCTGTGCATGCTGTTACCCGCATCTGGTCTACATGTGACGATCACCAAGTGTTGGTGGTATGGCAGTCGTGTCATAGTATTGCTTCTGTCGCTGTGTTGTATCCGATACATGCAGCTTCTGTCGAATGCTGGTCCATGTCATGGTGTTGTCGCGAGTCGTACCCTCTCGGCATTATAGTGCTGCAGAATCACTAGTAATAACCCTGTCCACCACGCGGTCTGCTAGTCACACTGCCTTAAGTACAACTGCGCATGCAAAGTGCTGCTCAGCATATCCCTTGTGTTCAGAACCATGCAAGGATTTGGTACTATAAACGCGGAGCTGGTAACTTCCAGAATCGACGCCAAAGTAGTTTCCCTCGGTGGTTGCTCAAGCAAGGAATCTCAGCTGCGTAGATATCCCACGGTGATGGGTTAGGACATCTGGGAATGTTAGGGCCATTCCCAAATAATCCTATCCCATTTCCAAATGGGCATTGCTGACAGCCAATCCAGTATGACCTTATGCACTTCCAGTTTAGCACGGAGGCCATCGGTAGGCATCGGTGTCTGGGCGCACATATAGGAATAGGTCTTCTGGTGCCATCATGTGTTGTCTCATTCTGTTACTATCCTTGAAGTAGCGTTGATGTGGAATACGTCTCAGCTACTCAGCATTAGTGTTGAAGTCTGCTCCATATCGGCAAATAGGGGTGTTGTTGGAGATACGCGGAGTCCACTATCCGGAGTGGCGTTGGCGCTCCATTCCACGCCTATCTGCTTCCGTGGAGTTGGTGCTGGTGATGGATTGGTTGTGACGCAAGTTTTATGAATTTAAGGAAAGCCATAGGCCATGAGGACTTGTATACAGATAGAGTACCATAGTCCTCCCATCCTCATAAGAGCAAATATCTTCTGCTCTTGAGGGTATATGGCATTGCCATGTTGTTCCTTAGCATAGTGGTGTCTCTTTCCCACTAGCTGGAAATCATGGTACTGTGCCTGGCCGGGTCTTATGTGATCATACTGGAATATAATCCTGTGTTATTTCCATTGAGCGGAGAATCATCCATCAGGTTTTGGTTGTGACTGCTGTGTCGAGTCTTCTGCTGCGGCGGCGGCGGCAGTAGCGACGATTGCGACGGCGGCAGCTGCTGCAGAGAATTCTCTCAACTCGTAGTGGTTGAGGGAGAATCCATCAACTCCCTCTTCCCGGTAGAGTGTTCCTGATGGGTGTAACATGCGTAACTACCAGGAACACGTGCACATTAGTACACATGTGTTGCTCCATTGCTGCCGGTGATTGTTTCATTTGAGGGTATGAAGAGAAATTTGCTTCTCCCCTCAATGTATCCACGGGTAGCAATTCCTTGTATGCTCATCCGTGCCTTCGATGTACGGTCGGTATAGCGCGTGATTGTGCTATAGTAGTCCGCATCTCCCTCATTTGTTGACACCTCATGTTGCTTGGCGTAATCCTGCATCGTCGAAGTTATGCTGATGCTTGTAACGCTTCGGCTTCTGGTAGAATCGCCTCCAATACATGTGTTGTAGGGTCGCTAGTGAAAGAATACTTGCCAGTTAAGAATACGACCTAACATTCGTTAACTACCCTGCACCATCTGCCGCGGAGCTCACCTAAGTCACGCTCCATTCCGGTCGCACTTTCCAAGAGCTACTAAGTACTCACCTATGGACGTCGTCTTCAGCGACATACTCTTCATGCTGCAGGAAGCAGAAGATATCAGCGGCAACGACTATTGCTATATCATTACCTTCATCGACGGTGCTACTCGATACATCTGGCACAATAATATCTCATGCAAGTCTAAAGCTCTTGACGCCTTCAAACTATGGCTGAAAATCGCAGAGCGACAAAGCGGCATCAAGTTGAAAGAGATCCAGAGTGACAACGCAAGCGAGTACACCAGCAATGTGAGAGTACGACACCGTTACACCAATTCCCCCTTTCCATATTTCCTTTCTATTTCATCCCTCTTTTTATCTTGATTCATTTGGTCTTTATCTCATCTCATTTGGTTTCCTATTCCTCATTTTCCATTATCCTTTGGTTTATCCCGTTATTATAATTATATCACCGACCAGGCTCAGGATGTAATGGAGCGTTATATCTAGCGTAATCCTGTCGTAGTCCCTCAAAGCCAATAGCCTCGCGTGGCTATACGCATGGTGATTCTATTTCTAGAAGGGTCTATTTCGTTTGGATAGGATCAGGCCCCACGATTGGTTTTAAGGTACTCTGATTGCTCAGTGTCGTACTTGAGAAAAAGACTTTCCATCAGTGTGGACCAGAAAAAAAAAAAACTTTTTCATCAGCGTTAGATTGCGATTGTTCGCTTTCTCATCAGGTTGACAGTAATTTTAACACTGATTCTCTATCCTCAAAAAAATCTTTCACATCTTTTAATTTATCAGCTACTCTAGTTTAACTACAATATCTACGAATTTACCAAAAGTTAAAATAGGGCAATGCCGACGTAGTCATGCGCCATACTAACATGCTTCAAAGAAACTTTACAGCAGGTTCTCAGCTATACAGCCATATCACTAGTTCACTACCCAGAATCGTCGTCATCGTCTAAACGGTCGGCTGCCTCATTCCCCACAAGCTCATCTTTCTCATCGTCATCGACCTCAACCTCCTCCACTACCTGTGCCAGTTCCTTCCCCTTCCTGCTCGTCGGACGCTTCTTCGGCCGGGCTGTCAGTGAGAAAGGTCGTTGCTTCTTATAACTCCTCCAAATAGACACCACCTCTTCCCAATCCAGCTCATAATCCAGCAGCGACATGCCTATGAGATCCGACAGCCGCGCGTCTTTGATAGCCCCGCGCTGCCAGCTCTTGATAACATTCTGCCGGGAGAGCCTGCGCTCACATTCCACAGTGGATAGCGGCAGGACAGCAACCGCTACCCACAACTTCACAAGGTTCGGGTAGGCATCCTTCCAGTCAGGCGTTTTGAGCATCGTAGTAAGGCCTGCATGGAAACTTTTCTCACACCTCGGGGCAGCAGCTCGAACGGGACAGAAGTTGCGCAGCTCCTTGATGGCCCTACGCTTGTCGATACCTGCCCATATTCAACAAGGACATAGCTATTAAAGTGATAGCAAGGACATAGTAGACTCAAACATGCGGCAGTGATAAACAACATACCTGGCAAGATCTCTTCCGAATGCTGCACCCGAAACAAAGCCACCAGAAACATGAGATGTTCGAGGCAGAGGGCGTTCCGCTCCTGGCGAGCTAATGGCCAGTCAAGCAAAATGAAGAGGCGCACTCCGGACAACGAGTCGAGGTCGCCCAGTCGATCCAGCAGGTTTCCCACCATTGATTCCGCCATAGCCGTGCAGAGGTCCACACTTGCGTTGTGGGTGAAAGGACCATTGTAGCCTTCAATCGCGTCGTTGTGCAGAAGGTACGTGTGCGTTGTAGGGCGGCCATCAGCATCCACCCCTTGAACAGTCACCTGCCGTGATCCCCTTTCCCCATGGAGCCGTAGGAATGCAGATAGGCGATCACTCAGCCCGCCACCGAAATCGTCACCGCAGTCGACGTAGCGAGACTCAATGAAGCTGGTGGTGCGGGCAATTTGTGACTGGACAGCGACGAGGTCCAGCTGCACAAAATAAATCAGGAATATTAGAATCCGATACGTGTAAACACACTTCGAAAAGTATGCAGCAATCAACACCATGCTATCTTAGAATACGTGTAAACACACTCCGAAAAGGATGCAGCAATCAGCACCATCTCACCTCTCGCTGCTGGAACGTCTTGTTCAAGACGTTCAGCTGCTCAAGCATGTCAGCGAGGAAAAAAAGCAATAACCGGAACATGAAGCTTGTTGCAATCTTGTACATCCTGGCATCACCCAGTTCATGAAGCATGACAATCACACCAGGCAGCACCGCCACCAACCTCAGGACGGCCTCACCGCGAGATAGCCAGCGGACATTAAAGATGCCCTGCAGCTCGAGACTTGTCTGACAGAACAGCTCCTGCAAATCTAGAAAGCGCTGGTGCCAAGGTCCCGAGCGTCCAAGGAACTCTGCCAACCACCAGATGAAGGCATCTATCATCCCAAACTATGGCAACAAGTCTGCGGCATCCTTCGCAGCCAACGCCTCCCTGAAAGTAACGTACACAAAACAGTCAGCTTCTTTCCAGGCAAAAACAAACACTGGAAGCAAATCAACAAAGACTTGTACCTGTGTGCAATGCAATGGCAAGAAACGAGGTGAGGAATGCGCGTGCAAAGCCTTGCCATAAGCCCATTGCGTACGCCCGTCATCACGGCCGCCCCATCTGTGTTGATGTCAGTCAGGTGGGAGAGGTCGATGCCGACAGCTCCAAGGTGTGAGAGGAGCAGGCCAAGAAGAGACGCCGCATCCGCTCGGTCTACAGTCAGCAGTGCGAAAAACTCTGTGACGACCGCGTTGTTCTTGACGAATGTAGCGTAGACGATGAGATGTTTCCCACGGCAGCGATCGGTTGACTCGTCGCAACTTAGTCCCACGTAGGGACTAGCCCGAATGTGGTCAAGTTGGGTTGTCTGCAACCAAGTTGCGGTTGCTTGTGTGAATTCCCCGAAGCCATATCTGCATGAATTAAGTGGAAAGGACACAATTGCAAAAAGTATACTGTATGCAGTGGCAACCAACATCAATAAACATTATGATGTTCAGTTAGAATAGACCCGAAACTTACGCGGTATAGTAGCTCCCGTATCCCTTCTTCGGATATCCCTTCACCCCCTTCTCCGCGAGGTACTTCACTAGCCGAACCCATGCTTCAATTGGCTCGTTGCTCTTGCAGTTGAAGAGGAGAGCGTCGAGGAGTGCGATGGCTCGATCCTTCTCTATGTCAGTTGCCGCTGGGTGCTCGTCAATGCGAGGTTGTCGGGTGGCAGCTTGCAGGAGGTCGTTTTGCCGCAGCATCGCCAACTTGTGCTTGTTGGTGGCGGCATGCCGCTTGAATGCCTGGTTCTGCACATCAGTAGCACCCTTTCCCTTACGACCACACTTCCCAGTATCTCCGGCATGCTCTGAGCACACAGTACACTTGAAAGCAGGAAACCCCCCGGGTGTTTTGGTTAGAACGAGCCAAGGGTAACGTTCCTGCCAATGCGTCTTGTACTTCTCAAGAGCATCAGAGTACAACAACTCAATGACATTGAAGCTAGGTTCAGAGGAAGTAGTATCGGCGGTGGAGTTGGGATTGGCGGCTGATGTTGTCGCAGGACAAGCAGTGGAGAGGAACGGGAGCTTTCTTGACGGTAGCGAGATGCCCGAACTGCCGCGCCTGCACTCGACTCTGGAAGATCTTCCATGCCATGCATGCGATGTCCACCATCTCCTTCAGTGGCTGTGGAATCATTCCCTGCGAAGCGTCAATTACGTTATTAGTAAACAGTTCCTTTTACGCGATGGGAACAACTGAATCAGAAGTCTCACCAGTAGAAAATTTAGGTCGTGCTCGAAGGCCACCGGCAGCACTACTCTCGATTACAACATTGGCAGGGGTCAGAGTTCCTGCCAGTTGCCAACATATTTATTAGTAAACAGCTTTTTGTAAAGCCATGGATACAACAGAAGTAAAAACCACGGCTCACCAATAAACATACCAGCAAGTCCTGCTCGGCGAACACCAGCAGCCCTGCTCTCGAGTACAGCGGAGGCAGGGGTTGGAATTCCTGCCACATATCATTAGGTTTATTAGTAAAAAAGTTGCGTCTAAAGGATTCAATTGAACCAGAAGCCAAAAACACTACTTACCGATAGCAAAGTCAGATCCTGATCGACAGGCACCAGCAGTGCTAGTCTTGGGTACAGCGGGGGCTGAGGTAGGGGTTCCTGCCATACGAGGACAAGGTTATTAATTAAGACTTGCTTGTGATTGACTGGATACAATAGAAGCAGAAACAGGACTCACCAGAAACAAAGTCAGGCCCTGCACGGTGAGCTTCAGCCGTGCTAGTGTCGGGTTCAGCTGGAGCTCCAGCCGCAGTAGTCTCAGGAGCGGCGGTGGCAGATGTGGGGATCCCTGTCAGGAGACGACACAGTGAATAGCAGACGTTAATACCCAGCCTTGTTTCCTGATATCAACGCACAAAGCCATGTCAAGCACACTTACCAGACTCAGACTGACGTCCTGCACGGCAAACACCAGAGGCGCTAGTCTCAGCTACAACAGTGGTCGGAGTCTCCAACCACTGCTGTACACAACCAGTGGCGCTAGTCTCACGTGGAGTCTCTGGCGTGTCATCCGCACACACCCAGACGGGCGCTAGTAATGTGGAGTTCGGTGGAAGAACGGGAGAAGAAGGCGCAGTAGGAAAGTTAATCACCTCGGTTGGCGTGGCGGTACCGAACGAGTCAGCCGCTGATGGCATGGGTGAGGCGGACGCCAGGTGGGATGCTGAGACGTTTGAAAGTCTATTCTGCTTGGAGGAAGGCGGCAGTGATATCAATAGGAACTCTAGCGTGCTTTGGGGAGCTGCGACGGGAAACTTAGTTTGAGTGGGCTCGTCTGGAGCTGGCGCGTCACCATCGACACAATTTCCCCCAGCGACAGCCATGGCGAGAGCAGGCTGGGAGGAAAAGGCTGCTGGTGCTGGGTGAGCTGAGAACGCGATACATCAGCCTGAGAGGCTGCATGCTAGGGTGGGGCAAACGTAACTGGGCGACGTTTTCCCATGGGCTATTTCAGCCCTCATCATGATCGATAGCTTCGACTGTGCCAGGCGGGTTGCTCGGTAGGGAGGGAAGAGCGTCGTGGGGGAGGACGAATTGTGTGGCAGGTACGGGCCGTTTGTGGGCACGATGCCAGGTTCAGTGCTGGCATCGTAGTGCGATGCCAGCGCTGTTGCTGTGAGATCGTAAACTACCTCACCCATTGGCTGCAAATACATGATTTGGCTAAAAGCCAATGGGGCTGCATGGCGGCTGCGCGAAATTTACAGCGCGACAGCATTTCACGCCTCATCCAGGTATTGCTGTACAATTTGTTGCGTGACTGATGGAGGAGGAGGTCAGCAGGCGCCGACCAAAATAAACTTCCGTGAATCTCGCAGTTTTCCGTTTCAGGGTTGTTCCGCGTTACTGCGCGGATCGCTCTGTGTCGATAGGCAAAAAAACGCTTTTCCATCAGTCTTACTTTAAAAAAATAGGCTTTCTCATCAGGGTTGTACCAAAAAAAAAGGCTTTCTCATCAGGGTCGGTACAAGCAAACACCCTGAAAAAAAGCGTAAAAAGCGTAAAAATCCTGATATCGTGGGGCCTGGACAGGATGCCCTGGTTACCAGATGTACTATAGAAGTATAAAAGCACCTTGTACTGATTGATGACCCTATTACCCGGTGTTGCCTAGAGTAGGTGTGTCCTCTGTGTGTAGTCTAGGTTCCTCTACTGCGTCAGGCCTAGGACCCTCTTCCTTGTTTAGCTTAGGCACTACGCTCGCCCCACCGCTGCCTGACGCTACTGCGTCACTCTCCTTTACGCTCAACTCTGGAGCTTCCGCCTGCTTCTTCCGCGACCACACTGTGCTCACGCCACTTGCTGCCCTCGCCGCTGTAGCGCTTGCTAACCCCTCCTCAGGTCTGGTAGTAGCCCATAGCTCCACTACTCTCCCCTGTCCGGCAGTCCCCTCGGGCTCTCTTACAGGCCTGCACATCCCCTCATTCTCAAGGAACCTAGCTGGTGTCGGCTCTATTATGAACCTATGCGTCACCACTACGTTCCCCGGGCACGAGCAGTACGCGGTTTGTACCGAGGCCGCCACTGGTGCCCCTCTGACCACGTT